TATAAGTCATAACTTACTAGTGACTTATGACTTATAACTCATTAGTGACTTATAGGCCACATTATTCCTTTAAAACCAAAGAAATTATCGTATCATTATATACAAGTGTTGGATAAAATTTGTTTAATTCAAATTATCGTCATTGTTATCAACTTTTGAGGTACTTCACTAGGGACATGTTATTACTGTCACCAAATAAATGAAGAAGGTATGTGATTCTAATTGCATTTCCTGTTAATAGAGCAGCAATTAAGACGTAGTCTAGCACATCGCGGCTGTTCGCCAAGTTCGTTTCACTTTTACATTTTTCTTAATTGCCAAATAAGTAACGATTTCTTGTAAAATTAAAAAATATCATCAAGTTTTGCCGCATTATTTCGTTTCATGGTAATATCCGTAAATCACTCTATTGATGGAAATTTGTTCATGTATTTTGCGTACCTATTTAATTTTACAGTTCAACATGACTCAAAGTTCAGTAGCTGAAATTTAACTCCTACTTTACTTTTTTAAAATGATATTTGTAGAATGTGTTGTAAGAATTTTTTAATTTAAAATTCGTTGCAACGCCCTCTTGTTAGAAGAAAGCAGTTGGTTACCTAACAGAGGCAGGCATTGTTATCTTCGACCAAATGCAAGAGGAGAAACTTTGCAGCTTTTATTCATACTTCCGTAAATCATATCAGTATTCTTGTTCAGTACAAAACCCTAAGTGAATTTTAATCGGAGGCATAATGCATGTATACCAATTTTTCTTCGGTAATCATTAAGTAATTATTCGGTAATGGGTCTACTCTTCTATAATAATGCGTTGCACTTTTATTATATTCTAATAAGTATATGGGCAGAGTTTCTAAAAATATTTCATGGTATGTATGTTTGCAACAAATAATCATGTTACAATTATTATTACCTGCCCTTCTTGGTCTCGGGCTAGGTTCTGTAGGGGCGCACCTGCTCTCAGAACCCCTAGATCCGCCCTTATGTTCATTTAGATTCTTGGTTCCAATGCCGCCATGGTCGGAACTGCTCCGCAGATAACAGTGATCCTCTGAGACAGTCCGTAGTGATCTCCATAACTGGTAGCATCAACTGTTTCCAAACGTTTCCTCACTGCCGGCATCTACAGTGGTGACTGTGCTTGCTTTGCCACGACTGAGAAGTGACTACATGAATACAAGTGTTGCTTGAACAAAATTTTTATCAACTTATTGTTCATTCTGATTCCCTAAGAAGAATTACCATCACCAATAGGTGCAATGTCTTGGTAAAAAATTTGAATCGGTTTCTAGTTCAGTTTATCTTTTTGTGCTAATTTAACCAAGGAACGTTCTAAAAAAGTTTGGCAATTTGGCAATCGAATTGAACAAATTGATACCAATTGATTTTTTTTGTGTATCAGCTCTAATACCATACCTATTAAATAATAAAATTTGCCTATGGATTTGTTATTTAGTTATATGGAAATATACTCTCTTGTATTTAAATATATAATTTGTCTACTACCGTTACCCAAATTAACGTCAATTCCTATTACATAAATGCATTTTGAAACCCGTAATCCGTAAACAACCAAATACTTGTTAGTTCTTCCTGCTTTTAAATTATATGTATGGAAAGCCCCCTATCATTCAATGTGGAAAAGGTAAAGTATATATGTATATATTAAGGAGTAGTAGGGTACCAAATTTACTTATATTTTTTTAATGTTACTCATCAAACTGTTTGAGTTTATTGCAAATATTTCATGAAAATACATTTTTTAATTAGTATAGCTAGAGGCAAGTGTGGTCCTCATTATTTAGATTACAAAATATGCACGTCAGCACGTTACTGGTTTTACCAACTTTATTCTCTTTCAGCACTAGACCCAAAAATATCTCTGAAATTTACTCATTTGAGTCTTTATGAGGAAAACACTATACATAATAAATAATAATACATAAAAAAATTAATTCTAACAGATATATTGCTTGTATTTTTTTAAGATCCGCATTAATCTAAAACAAAATGTGATATGTAAATCACACGCTTTACCGTGACACTTTATAATCAAAAAGAAATTATATCTTCGGAGGATTTTTATGAATTATTATTAGGGTTATTAATTTACTAAATAAAATTAATAATTTAATAATACCAAATACTACTTAAATTCACGTTTAAATAGATGTTTATTCTTTTGTAAATAGCTTTGTATAATATCATAATTGATATTTTTTCTGTCTCAATATAGTCCTTAGATAAACGCATCTAAGACCGAAAAATTGATGTTCAGCTTGCGTGAAATAGACGACGTAAACAATCCTGATGCAGTAAAATTTCTGGGAATATATTTGGACCCGAAATTGCAATGGGACAGGCACGCCCACTACCTCTACAATAAGATCTCCAATGGTATCTATTTAATCCGCAACTTGATTAGCAAAGTATCTCAAAAAACGTTAATTACTGCTTATCATAGCGTTATTCACTCCCAAATATCCTATGCAATGCTGATTTGGGGTCATTCACCTTCAGCTGATATCGTTTTTGCTACTCAAAGAAAAGCCATTCGCATAATCTCGGGTTTAAAATACAGAAATCACTGTAGAGCACAGTTTAAGGCACTTGATATTTTAACATTACCATATACTTACATACTCCAGTGTCTTTTGTACGTAAAAGAAAATGAAGGGTCGTTTACTGTGCGTAGCCAAATCCATTCTCATAATACTAGAAACAAAAATGACTTAACGTAATGGCACATCATACCTGGGCATCCAATTTTTTAATGCATTACCAGCTGCAGTACGTCATCTCAACCCTACTTTATTTAAAAGAAAAATAAAACACTTTCTATTAACCAACGCATTTTATACTACGCAAGAATTTTTAAAAAGTGATCTCACCCTAATATGACTAACTTAAGACGTAGGCTTCGCACACTTCAGTTGCATTGTTTCAGTTTTTTTCTTATTACATTACTCATAATCTTATTTTAACATGTATCATTTACTGTTTGTTTGTTTTGTTGTCCTCTTACAAACCTTTTATTTTAACATTTGACAACCATTTATTGCTTGTACTTGTATTATTTTATTACAATTTTCTTTGTTCTTTAAATTATGAACTAGTTATGTGTCAACACTGTTATACGCGTGTGTGTACTGTGTTGTATATTTTATTATCATTTTTTTTCATAATGATTTTATATTACTACTATAATTTTTTTTTTGACATGTGTAAACACTTTTTGTGTACTAAGACTAATAAATATCTATCTATCTATCTAAGAATCTGAAAAAATATTTCTGTTATTTTGATTTTAAGTGTTTCTTAGACTGTTTAGTTGTACTTATCTTTATGTATTTTGCATATTTCTTAATTTTTTGCTTTTAATATTTGTTTATTTGTGTTATTTTTTTTTATTTCTTCAGTGACAATCACTACTATGTACTTATAAGAAAATAATATGTATCTGGGCCTGTCCTGTTTGTATTCCTCATACAATAAGCAATAAACAATAAACAATAAACAATAAACAATAGACGATAAATATGATGAATTCAGAATTTATTTATTTAATACACCTTCGAAAATTAAATTTTTAGCCAGAGAAAGCCTGAAATGGTACTAAAAAATTCAGTTCCAGAAAAATAAAGGACATACTTTGAAAGCATGTTAGAGATAAATTATTGTAATGTAGGTATGTAGTGTAACTTTAGATATTCGAGAACTATTGTTTTTCATTGTTGCTAGGCAGCGCTGTCACGTATTACCTTTTTCTGTTATTATTTATTTTACACCACAGACTTGTCTTTCATTTTCATGAAGAAAGTAAAAGTCAAATTCGATTTATTCAATGTCTTCTCACGTGCTCCAATAATTGCCTTTAAATTCTCATGTTTACCATGAAATTAAATGACAGTAAATTAAAAACTGAAATGTTCCATTTGCAGACTAAAAGAAATATTCAGTTCATAATATGTACCTATACAGGGTGTTCAGAAACTCCGACAAACAATTAGCTCAAATTCCGCCTTACATTTAATTTTTTCTAAACATCTTCAAATCTGTACACCCTTTAACGATCAGCACCTACTAATTTGATCATAAGCGTTTTTTTGGGGGGGCACGGTACTGGAAACTGGTCCACTGTAAAACCTGACCTTACGCAAGGCAAAGTATGCGACAGCCTACCGGCACGGACAATATACTGAAAAATTTCTTTCTCAAGGAAAGAAATAAATACAATTTTATAACACCTATTTTATAGCAGCAAATTCAACTACTTTTGCCGCTATTGTTATTATTGCTTACCTAATAAAAATGAATTTGTAGTTTTAATTAATAAAATAATTTGACATACCTGATGTTATAGCAACTGTTAAAAATTTTATTCATCGATGTGTAAACACATTTGGGCTCATCTTACCCAGTTTCTACGAACTAACACAAATGTTGTCTTGCTTCACCATAAATAATTAAAACTATATCCATCAACTCCGAGTTGCTGTACACTTAAGCCATTTTTTGACACTTGAAAAACTAATATAAACACCATCGTTAATACTAAAATCGGATTTTAGTATTAGGGGCCTTGTGGAGAAAGAGCGCATTGCGCACAGCACACAACGCCAATGACGCTAGAAACCACAGTAGCTCATCGATGTAATGGTTGAAAATACTACTTCAATAATTTTTTTTTTTCGGAAACTACTTATATGGATTTTACATTTTTTTTTACGATATTGACTCCATTTTTCATGACGCAACTATTCTAAAATATTTTTGAATAAGTTATGAATTACCCTGTGTAGGACCTATACAGGAACATTTTATAATATTTCAAACGAAGGCGATTCCCATCACCGATAACATATTTTTTAAACGCTTTATATTTTTTTATAGTAGTGGGATAATATAGTTTTCTTGGTAAATGAATGCGGACATCTGAAAAAACAATTTATAAAAACAGTTTTTATTTAAAAATTTAGTTACTTTTACCGACCGTAGGTATATTAAAAAATTACAACTAGATAACAAAATACCTTTAAAAAATGCAATCACAATTTAAATCAGCAAAGATCTATACGTAGAATATATGAAAATAAATAAATAAATATATAATAAATACATAATAAATTAGTAAGTCTTATGGAATTCAAACAGTCATAACATGAAGTCGATCTGAGACCTTCAGATAAATCTGTTGTCCCTCCTGTAAGAGCAGACACAGCTGCTAGGCACGGTGAATCGTCCGTATTCCAATTTTCCAGAGTTGTTGATTGACACTAGCCGCACTATGTTGTAAGTTTGTTTGCAAAACGTCTTGAAATCATTGGGAAGGAGTTCGTTCCCAAAACACTCGCTCGACGCGTCCCTGTAACAAAAAAAAAACAATATTAAATATGGACGTGAGAACATTTTTTTCTTAATTTATTGAAAATTTAATTACCCCAGAAATATTTTAAAAAATATCAAACACTTTCTACCCATCGTTCTGCGGAAGCCAATAAACGTCCCATTTCGGTTAATGATTTATTAAAATGTATATACTGGACTCATTTAATTAATTAAACACATTTTAGTGAAAGTTTTAAATTTTGATGTATGAGAATAATGGGATTCGAAGTTATCGGAACACTGTTCTGAAAGTTACAGGATATTAATGTGTTCTTAAATCTACGTCTTGTTTTTTTTTATTTCAAAAAAATTACTAAATGTACCAAAGGAAAATATTATTTAGGAAGAGAATTCTTAAATGAAAAACGTTGATAGCGTTAACAGATTTGATATATTTTTATACGAATATCATTTTGAAAAGTTAGAAATATACTGAGTGTTGTCTAAGTCAATGACATAACTTCGAGTTGCCTTTTTAGACCAAAGAGATTGACGAATTAAAGCTTCAAAGTCACTAACTTTCGAATAGAAGACATTGAAGAGGAAAATATGTCACAGTTTTTTAAATATCTTTGAAGATGTTTGACCTAAATCGATCAAACTAATGATATAATTAATTAAAGACAAACATTTTTTGAATTGATTTAAATATTTCTCTACTACTCTACTACTCTACTAGCGTAGCTACTAGATGTCAATGTTACGAAGTTCTTCATAATTTCGACGCCACTGGTTATTTTGAAAATTGAATAAGTAGATTACATTAGGCAGTTACTATTTTTTTAAATTTGAAATAGACTTTTGCTTAGTTAAATAAGCTCTCTAAATATAAAAATTTGTTTCACAAAAAATATTTTCACTTCAAAATTTGTCGTGATTAAAAACGTATTTTAACAAAATATTTATTTTGTAAAATGAATAGATTTCGAGTTATTTTAGTCATAGTTAACTATTTTGAATGAAGGTGATATATACCTACAAAGTACGTTATATCTTAATTGTCATTGATACTCAATGGCATCTGGCACAAAGTACCTGCTGGCAGAGAGCGACCTACTAATCTGAAGGCACTATTGAACGAATGAATAGTGTTGCTCGGCAAAATAATGCTTTTAACTAATTATATTGTGGGAAAAAGTCTGCGGACTACAGATCGGATCAGCAGGGTCTTCAGAATGGAACTAGATATTGAGGGTGTAATTCAATGCTGGACGCGGCGTAGTCCGCAGAGTGGTTCCTTAATGTACGTTTAAACAAAATGATCAACAACTCGAAAATGGTAAATTTTTTGAAAGTGCTTATTATCTAAATGTACTTATCGGATTTAAAAAATATTTAGAGGTATTGAAATTCTGGGATTTTTGATAATAGTGCAGATACTAAACACTAGTGGCTTTAACTCTTGGTTAAGGGTCTTTAGTATAAAATAATCCAAAATAAGGAATTTTGTGAAATTATATGTGCCTATAAGCATCCAGTATAGACCAGGGCGGATCCGTTTTTCACATAGAAAAGACCGCTACACCTTTCAAATAGTTTTTGAAAAATTGAAATCGGTTGATTAGGACGGCAAAGTAATTTATTAAAATTAACACTCTTTTTTCTATTTTTAAACAATTAGATTACATTTATCAATTTGCAATTTAGTTTTTTTCAAAAATTATAATTTTAAAGTACTCGGAAAGACGCTTCTTTTTTTTTTTAAAAAAAAGTTAAATTCCGTTTATTGGTTCTCGAGATATAAGCGGTCAAAGTTTATCGGCATTTACCCTTAATTTATAAACAATTTAGCAATAATTTTTGATCCAGTGGCTTCGTTTTTCTGAGTTCTAAGCTTGAAAACATTCATATCCATAAGTTATCGGCAACACAGATAAATCAGCGGAAAAGCTGTCGCTCGCACGCGAGAAATGTGACTCAAAACACGAAAAGTGGGGAAGGGGGCTTTCGCTCCGAGACTGAATTCGGAGGTTCAAAATGCGGTACGAAAAAAATTGCATTATCTCTGCTTCTAATGGACCAATTTCGATATTTTTTTTTAATCCGATGTCTCGCGAGCCAAGGAATTGGAATATCGTAATGCCATAATGTCTAATCTGCACATATTTTGTTATAAACAAAGTTTATTATTTATGCATTGAATATACCGTATATTTTACCCTATGCTCTTGCATTTTTTCAATGAAAAAATTTGTTTACGTATATATTTCAACTCTCTGAATATGAATGTATTTAGTTATAATTATTACAATTATTTTAATAATTTTTGTTTAAACAAATTCATTTTTTTTATTTGCAAATTAATTTTTTTGTTAAGTACAGATAAAATTAAGAAAAAATGGTACTTTAAAATTATAATTTAAAAAAAAAATTAAATTGCAAAATGATAAATGTAATCTAATTGTTTAAAAATAAAAAAAGATTTTAAAAAGACTTTAAAAATTTACTGTGGCCGTCCTAATCAACCGATTTCAATTTTTCAAAAACCATTTTAAAGGTTGAGCGGTCATTTCTATGTGAAAAAATATTAAATTGTCTAGATGCTTTATTTGAGGCTGTGCAACATATTGAAAATTCGAAAACTATAGAACCGATTTTAATGAAATTTGGTGTGTTGTTTTATTATGCTCTTCTAGTTTTTTTACCAAAATTAGAATGCCCTCGATGCAATTAAAATATTTTTAAAAAATTCTCCAAGAAACTTGATTATTTCGCATTTTTTTCATCAATTATTGCTATTTTGCAACATCGGTAATAAATTTAAACATTTTTAACTTACAGTATATTGTGCAAAATTGTATTTTTAAACCTTTTTTCCTCTTCAATATTCTTTTAAAATGCATGGGTTCCTAGATATAAGTAAAAAATATTTCTTTTTAAATTTTTTAAACATTTTTGCAATTTTGAAAATGTTCCGGACCTCGCTCAGATCTAGGGATCTACATTTTTGTTATGTGATTTGTACTGAAGGTAATCCAGGAAAAAAACAGCAGACTCTAGGAATTTTTGGGTCAACGGTTCGAAATAATTGAATGAAAAAATCAATCAATCAAATTCAAAAATCCGTATCTAAAATCACGTCGTTATAAATTCCACGATTAAATTAGGACCCGAGAAAATTTAAAGTTAACAGGCATGTAAAAACAATGGTACTTACACACAAGTCTCGTATGTCAGGACCTGCTCAAATCCCTGAACGTTAACTATATATCTCAACTTCATATTCACATCGAACCCTGTCTTGGGCATTACCGTCACCCTTTTTGTCCTGCACATGTTCATCTCCTCGTACTCCTCTACGGAATTTCTGATTTGAGGCACTAGCTGATCGGCGGGTTCGATCACCGACCCCGACAGAGGAGCGAACTTCTTCTTGTTCCGCTCCACTAACCTCTGGATTTCTTGTTCGGGGTAATTCTTCGTGGTGTTGCAGAGCATGCCCATGTTGCAGTGGTGCTTGGGCACAAACACCTTGTTGGGCCTGGAGAAGCATTGCTTCGTCTGAAAAAAATATATAAAGCAATTAATATTCGTCGTTCACATTGATGAAATATTTCGAACGCTGACACTATTATCACTTCGCTTAGTTGTACTCACCCAGAGCAGCAGGGAGAGCACGGTAACGGAGATCAATAGTTGTGGATTCATTATCCTTGAGTAATAGTTCGATACTGCGCCGGGATTATTTTAAAAAGTTGTATTTAAGAGATAACCCACTTCCGTAAGTAACCACATAATGCGTTAGCAGAGTGGCAATATTTATACTAGACGTTAGTAATCGTCTTGCGTTGGCCGTTTCTCTTGTTTACACTGTTATACGTTTCGCCGTAGTTTGGCGAACACCAAAAATAATTCCCCATTTCCTGGAAAAATTCCCGATTCCCACTACTATCGGGGTAGCTACGTGACTCTGCTGGAGGATGCTATCTGTAACAAGAATGCAGCAACATAATTGTAAATTATAATAAAACATTAAATAATATACCTATAGTTATTTATACATGCAATTTGTTTCACAATAATGCCAGTAGTTTCTTTCATAAAATGAGTATTATCGTCACATCAAATATATTTAAAAAAATGTCATACGAAGTGGGTGTTACTAAGGAGCAATTAACCACAAATACTTTATGTATTTGTATTTTAGGACTTTTCTTATGTCGTTTTTCAAGAAACAAGGTGTCAAAATTAAAATTAACATATTCTATTAATGATTCTTTGCTTTTACAATATTCAGTTCAGCCTTGTATTTCATATCGGCACACTTTTCATATAATTTGATTACAAAAATCTAAGCACCAACGAAGGAAATGAAGTTGTTGTACACATTTACCCCTTTAATTTTTTCCAATACGTGTCCATGATTTAAGAGTGTTATTTGTTACATCAAGCACCTATTTCACTCTTGTAAATTTTAATTTGGGTCTAGTTTTTGAGATATTGCAACTTTTACGGATATTTTTGTTTACTGTCCTAAATCCACGTTTTTTTACTGATGTCCAAACATTATATACATGGTGTTTGGTAAGTCGATGCATTCCTTGCAGGAGGTTACAGTACAAGCGATTTCTGATATATTTCTTTAATATACCATATTCCGAAAACGCTTAGTTTCTGATCTATAGGGTGATAAAGTTTTAATAAAAAAATGCAAATTTATAAATATTGCGCAAACCGCTCAGAATATTTTAATGAAATTTTACAAGCTTTGACAATTAACAACAATACATGTTTTACGATAAAAATATTCTTTTTAATTTCACCAGTGGCGTGCGCACAGGCACGTCATTGGATATTTTTAAAGAAAAAAATAATACGCCACTGATTTTTCTTCAAATAAAAATTATTTTTCAATTCCTTGTTCAATTTGGAAGAGAAAAGGTATCTCGAATGTTGTTTTTATGACGCACCGTTTTGAGTAAAAAAAATAAAATCGATTTATTGCATGGCGTAATCCTATTTCAATAATTTGAAAAGTAGCAGAAATTATGAACTCGGCTTTTTTTTTGTACCAATTTTATTACAAAAAATTATTATTCCTCGCAGTTAACAATATCAGTCTAAAAAATTTTTATCGGTTTTTGGATTCACTATTCACTATCTGAACAGAAATTAGCAAGTTGGCTTTGTACTCGTTTTTGTTATTATTTGACAAAATTAATAATAGCTGTCACTTTGAGTGTTTGAGTGTGAAGCAGTTAAGTGCATAATTGCTGCTAATTTTCTGAAGGTGTTTGATTCTACACTGTCAACAAAGTCCCTAAAATTTCGACGCCATTGGGTATTTTATAAATTAAATTTGTTTTGTAATTTTTTTGAAAAAAAGGTGTCTTCACTTTACTCGAGAAACGAGTAATTTTTCAATAGTTATTTTTAAAATATTCAATAGTACATTGTAAAATAAATCTGAAATAACTCAGACTATACTATCTATTTCACAAAAAAATTAACATATTCTTGAAAAACACCTTTAAATAGAATATATTAGAATTAGATGTCCAAAAACAGTAATTGATAAAGAAGTCTTTAATTACCTAAGGTATATCGAAAGGACAGATAGTCTCAAAAAAAAAATAAATAAATAAATAAGTAAATAAAAATCTACGCTAATAATTTTTTTTACGTTTGAGCAAGAGGTTGCTTTAATTTTTTCCTGAAAAGAATAGTTTTGAAAATATTATAAATTTATTCAACTCTTATAAGCCTTTCTTTTAAATTAAAAAAGAGAAACAGAATTTTATTCAATTATTATTATAAACAAATGAGTTATGGTGTAACTCGTTATAATTTAGGGACTAACTGAAATTATTGAGATCTGGTTTCAGAAAAAGTTACGCAGAATATTGTAACTTTTCGACAATAATTGAAACCATTCTGAATCTTCAATATTTTACGATATTCTAGTAGTCTGTCGCTAAATACATATTTCTAACCCAGCTTACAGGGAGATTCGTCAAGAATTGGATATAGCTCGATGGAAAATTTTTCAGTTTAAAGCAATGAAGCCGAATAATCAAATGTGGGTTCCTTTTAATTCTATTTTTAATTAAATCAAGGGATAATATTTTAACAGATTTTTAGTTATAGTGAAGTGCTTTTATTGTAGTAAAAAAGATATTATGACTTGACTTTTTAACTACAATTAAAGAACAACATTATATGAAGGAATTTTTTAAGTTTGTAGTTAATATTTCTCATTAATATATTTTTAGTTCGGAAACGGTTGCTTTTTTCGACTTTCAATTGTTTCATTGTTTGCCAAAATTGTTAGAAAAGTTTAGGCCGCATTTAATCTGGAGTAAGAAATTTATAGTACCTACCTACTTCTAAAATTTTTATTCTAAGGAAGATGTCTTCAGAAATCTTGCTTAAAACTCAAAAGTACTTCATAACAGTAATATATGTTTCCAAACATTTTGTAGTAGTTGTCGTATGTGTTAATCTGTAATTTAAATCTAATACTTAAAGCGTCAGTTGTTGGATATAAAGGTAATTGATTCAAATTTTTGCACAGTTAGGAAAAAGTATAAACAATTAACTTTATGTGTTTCGTAGAGCTGAAGATCTACTAAGTAGTTATAAGAAAAGCTGACGTCAGTCTTCTTCCAACTGAGCTCTTAATTACAGAAGTAAAGGTTTTACCAGTCTATCTAATTCTTTCACTGAATAGTGATTGTGGTTTATCAGTGTCATTCCTAAGGCCATTGACGGGATATGTCATCCACTCTTTCACACCAATAATAGATTTCTGGTAAATTGCAGTTAGATAAAAGGTGATATACTACTGTCATTAATTTTGTCGCTTTACTGTCGTTGTTGTTCCTTCCGACATTGCCAATATCATATAATATGTATATATAGAGTGAGTATACTAAATTTTACTACTTTTGTGTTAGCTAACTTTTCACGTTTGAAAAGAATTTAAAGGTATGGAAAATAAACTTATTTTTAGAGTACATTGTGCTAGTGGCCGCCGAATATTTATAATTAACCTGTAATGTTACAATTCAATATAAAGTTTCATGTAAATAAACGCCTTTGTGGTTTATTTATAAAGTGGACTAGTGGAAGTCTATGCTACAGGTAGGCTAGGCGGACTGAATTTTTAAATAATTTTTTACGTCTTCCTTGGATCCTGAAGTCCTCAATCCTTAAAACATATAAAATCGCGCAGAAAAATTGAGGAACATTGCATATTATTACATCATGCAATTGTTTGAATTTCCAAAAGTATAATGAACTATTAGCTGGATCATTTGTTTGATTATTTATTGCTTGCAGTAATAAATTTAGTTGGTTTAGATAAACATGTTTTCCTATATAGTTTTGAAAAGTTTGAGTCATTTGAAAACATCTGTGAAAGCAGATTTCCTCTAAATTTGCTGGAAGAAATGACTCATCATTGTATGTGATTGAAAATTATTTTTAGAGCCTGAACACCGGTAAATAGTATCTCTTGTAGAACGCAAGTCTAACGGTAAACAAACATACCTACGCCTGCAAAGGCATTCTTACTCATCAGGAAACATTTTTCCTTCAACATTTTCTGGTATTCCGGTATGACCTAGGTATTTACGTTTACCTCTCACGGATATGACGCCTTAACAAAAAAAGTACGTAAGAGATCTACCATTTCTTTACATAGTCGTTAAAGCTACTATATGTCTAAAATTAGATTCGACACACCCAGCTAAGTATTGTTCAAATAAAAAACATTTCATTGCACAGAAATATAACCAAATTTACTTCTCATAACAAATTTTTATCAAGTAGTTCTCCGAAATCATTACACATAACTTATAATTAATAACTCTTTTCTAGCCCTTTATAATTATTAATATACAAAATATTTTTAAAAAGGATGTGGTGCTGCGGTTTTTTTATCAAAATTACGACATTGCAATCGCAGGCATATTACGTTAAAAAGAGTCCAATACTACTTGTTTTACGGTCATTTTGGTGTTAAATATGATGATGTTAACACAGACTTTTGTCACGGTGCTCTTTGCCATTGGTGGGGTAAGTTTGTTAGTTTAATTATTTTATGGTTACGTACATAACAAGGTGTTAGGTGTATGGGAAAAAAATACAAGTTTTTGCTTGAAAATAGTGAAGATATTTTAAGTGGAAGTTCTGTGATACTGCAGAAAAAGGTTATGGACTTACTTTTAAGCTAGTATAAATGAAATTGCAGAATTTGATATGCTTTTTTAGGTGGTAGAAAGATTTAGTAAGCTGAAAGAAACTTTTTATTTTTGTAGTATTCAAAAAAAATATGAGGTTGTAAATATACCGTTTTTTATAAATTTTCTGTCAGTTGATGAATTAAATACGTTTTTGATTTTGATAAAATATTTCTCCTTGTTATTATAGGTCTTAATCATGTTTTCCTACAACATTATGCAGCATGTGAGAACGGTAACTTGATTCTACCTAGATTTATTAAATAATACGCATCCATTTTTATTTTGATTGCAAAAACTCTTTAATCTAAAGTTACCAGTTATAAAGAGTTAAAGCAATACATTAAGAAACTAATTTTATAAAATAATCGACTACCTTCTACACAATGATATAAAATAAACTATTTTCAAATAGGTACTCTCCCAATGATTCTGTTCATAGAAGTAGAAGAATTTCTAACCCCAAATAAGGTTTTTCATATTTATTATGACATTATCATATGTTCCTTCAAAGGAATAATAGAGGATGTGAAAATAAACAAATTTCAATAAGTAGTCTGTGATTAAAGAATATTGCATGAAACTTAGGCCGACCCAGCATCGTCCCACTTTATCAACTGTTTACAATGCAGTACTCTCGTCGTCTCTAGATTTATTTATGTTATTTTATTTCAGCTTATAAACCAAAGCATGTCCTCTAATAGGTAGTTTAATAGTTCAAAGTTCGCGAAAAGAATACATTTCATTATTAAACGAAAAAACAAACTTCAACGTCCTGTATTTCAAAAAGGGGACTTATATATTTTTTAGTTAACTAATTTGAGGAATCACTCCCTGAAATATTTTGGACCGCTTAGGAAACACTCCGTATAAACTACTTAATAATATCAGTGTTTATTTCAGTATTGCCACAGCATCAGTCACAGAGACATAGAGCTTACGAAATGTTTCGATACAGTATGCTGGAATCCGGAAAATTATCCGGCAGAAGAAATAATGACCGAACTATACAATACGAATGAAAATAACATGGACTTATTCGGTAAATATGAAGAACTGTCCGAAACAGTCCGCTCAGAAGCGGCTTCCTGTAATCTGTGTAAGCACATGGCCAGCCTGAGGGTGTCACCAGTGACGCTGCAGGAAGGGGACGATACCTTCTACGTCGTTAGGACACAGCACTATCAGCATAACATCACCCTTAATATATGTGAATCGTAAGTGCAACCAACGTGGTAATTCTACCTATGATGAGTAAATTTTGTTATCAAGTATTAAAAAGGGATAATTGTTATTATAACCCCATATACAGTGTAGGAAAGTACCGATGGTCTATCAGAAGTTACGTGAGAGCGATAAAGTAAGCCATAGAAATCCATGTGATAGACAAGGATGGCTATAATGAAGGCGTCTAATAGTCAACGCCCATTTCGCCCTTCCACAAATAAGATCAACTTCTTATTTGTGGAAGGGCGAAATGGGCGTTGACTATTAGACGTCTTCATTATAGCCATCCTTGTCTATCACATGGATTTCTATGGCTTACTTTATCGCTCTCACGTAACTTCTGATAGACCATCGGTACTTTCCTACACTGTATAGGGTGTTTGTAAATAAGTTTCCGAGAGAGTGTTTAAATTTAATTTTTTTATTTATTTTTAGTAATTATTTCAGAGTTTTAAAGACTGATTGACTCGAAATTTGAAAAACGTTTTGTGCATTTTTGGAGTGATCCGAATATTCCGCTATTCAAGTCTACATCATATGATGAAAAAGTTTGAAATTTTTGAAAATTTTCAATATTTTTTATATGAAAATTTAGCGACAAAACTGAATTTAAGTAGTAACTTCTGTAAAAATAAATAGTTCTTGAAGGCTTATTTGTATTCGGTTAAAGTTAAATATTAAGTAAAAATGAAAAAAAAAAAAAAAATACAAACCTGTTGAAGACTGGTATAAATCTATATTTTGAGAATTAATCATAGTCTTAGTCTTTTTTAAAGTTGTATTTAGCAAAAAGCAAAAGATTATTGGAAAAGTATTCCTGATGTCGATTTAGTTCATAAAAAATGATTTTTGGTAAAAGAAAAATTACGGGTTTGGGAAGATTTCAGCTTATTTGTACAAAATGGGTACAATAATAATAGTAATGTTTTATACAGGGAGAAGGTGCAGAAAGAGAAATCCTTATGCCTGAACACAGGAGACAGCCAAGAAATTCTGGACATTAAGAAGGCTTGCGAGCAGAAGTATAGTAACATCAAATTTTTAGTGTACGATATGAAAAATAAGAGTTTTATAGAAAAAACACTGCAATATCCCAGTGCCTGCGTTTGCACCATAGAGAAGAGTATTTGAAAACTTTGAAATGTTGGAATAAACAGACTATTGTAATTTATAGGTTAATATAGTTATACACAGGTATTTCCTGTCATATTTTTTTCTTCGTGAAAAAATAAAAAAATATTTGTAAGATTGCATTTTTAATGACACCAAAAAAGTTGAGAATTTGAACAAACTATTCACATATTGTATCATATTCATAGGAATTTTTGGCCTTTATCTAGAAGTCACCCTGTATATTTATAAAGAAGGGGAGTATACACTTTTTAATGGTTATGTAATATCCGCCTTAATGAATTCTATTTACGGTAGAAGTATGTAAAATTCCTCGTAACACACCCTGTATATACACCATGACAAAAAGAAGAGATGTAGGTAAAGCATTTATCTACTGTAAATCTAACCAAACATTTTAGGTAGGTGTACTTTTCCCAAATAAATAGGCAATTGATCTATAAAAACATATACATATCAGGTGTCGATCAAAATATGGCCACCGAAATATCTTGACTAGCGTTAGAGAAATTTTGGAAATAACATAAAAGATAGCAATGGATACAATTTAACATAATTGCTATCTAAATACCTGTCTAAGATGACGTCAGCTTTAGTATTTTAAATAACATTCTTATAAAAAAAGTATTTATTTAGTGATTTAATTTCTTTTCCTAAGACATTTGAATTTATTTTCGGTTATCAAAGCCTACGTATTATTTTTTCGTTGCCTAATTTGGCTTGTACCAATTTCATGAAAAAGTATTCATTTCTAATTAAATAAAATTTAATTTATGTGTTTTATCATGTACGTTTTCCTAAACGGGGTGAGCAATCTATTAACCTATAAAATATTTAACAACTGTCATGAAAAATATTCAAAAGAGATGTAACAAAGGTGTAGAATAAAACGGGTATAAAAAGAAATTCGAACTTAAAAAAAAATAAAAAAAATAATAATTGTAAATAAATTCAAACGTCATGTGATGTATTAGAGATTTTTAAGCTCTATCTTCAAAATAAATCGGACAAATAACTTTTTTACAAAGTTGTTTCCATTTAAAATGGATTATATTGGAGATTTACATTTTCTATTTAATAGGACATCACAACTTAATATTACTTCATAATTTAGAAGGTAACTAGATAAACGAAACTTAATTTAATTTACTGCTTACATTAGTAAGCCACGTAGGTAATATAATAAAAAAATAATAAAATTGGTTTGTGAGGTTGTTACAGTATTTTCAAGTAACTGTTCTTCATTCCAGTAATAAAGGGAGCAAATCTTTGGATCATTAAAAAAAATCTCCTTGATTCTACCCTAAATGGCTTAATTTTTGGGGCACAGGATATTAATTTTCTTTTAAAAATCACTTTTTGACATACATCTTGAAATTATGTGACGTAGATCAACATTTGATTGTTTTCTTAGCTACTGTCAGTAAAATATTTAATAATAATGATAAACAGATTATGTTGTCCTAAATAAATGCGTTTTAATAAAACGTGTTTGCTATTGCAACAAAAAATGTATTGCATTTAACAGGTCATTTCCAGTTATATTGTATCATTTATTGACCTGTTCAAAGTGAGTTGCTTTGATTAGGTAAGCGAATTTACTTTCTTGGAATTTATTCAGTTCGTAAGATAATTAGGACTCACTGTAAATGAGGCCTAACCTAAAATTTTCCGCTATAAACCGAAATTTGTCCCAGTGCGCTTAAGTGTAAGTAAACTATTTACCCCCACTGTACTATATCTAAAACCCGTCTACCGAAAGTCTCTGTTTCGTCTCAGTCGACACATAGAAAGACACCTTTGCCGAATATAGAAAATAAAACAAAAGAAACGAGTTTCACGTTATATAAAATAGAATACACTGTTTAACTCACTAGCAAAAAAACAAATTAGCTCAGTTTGAGTTAATACACTGACCTACTTAGAACAACGAAAATATCGATATAACTCATTAAAAGCAAATTAGTTTCTTTCTGCTTATTGCAAGTGAGCTCTATTTAGCAAAGCATATTTGGTTGTGGTAAGAAGGCAGTTGTCTTGGTGTCTGTTTAAGGCACATATTTTGCTAAAGTTAGGGAATTTTTACTAACCGTAGCAAAAAAATTCCCCTGTGTAAAGGATCGCACATTATTCTTTGAACGTATTTAAGAATCATCCTGTAGAGGTATAACGTTTTGATAAATATTGCTACTTTATGAAGACGATAGTGTGAATCTGAGGCGCTTAACATTTTAACAATTTAAAAAGTAAAAAACTATTATTTTTCGCAATATCGGTCCCAATAAAAGTACGATACTTATGTTTTACTTGTTGGTTTCAAAGTAATACGACATGAAAACGACGATTTCTATCAAGATGTTTAAGTTACAAAATTTTTCTTTTTGAACTGTTTCTTCTTTTAAAAATTTTACCTCTTTATACTTTTGGGTACACTGTGTATTATCAGGAATTGCTTATGAATAATGCAATCAACCTCTCTATTTACTTTTTCCCTTCATACACTTTCAGCGCTCACTTGCTTTTAAATTGGTTGATTTACCTTGTTTTAAGTATACTTATTAATTTTCCAAGAATGAGAATGCATATTATCAAATTCTCTTCGTCTTATTAAATCAATTAAACGGAATTAGATATATAATAAACTACCTTTGTATTTTCTCTGGTATTATTTGGTCACTTGGTTACTAGCTAACCTAGCTAGAAAGTCCATGTCCCTCTTGTACGAACAACAGCAAGCTGATGGTAAGGAAAAAGTGTCGACAACTGGATTACCCTCATCATTTAACGCCAAAAGTCTCCTGTAAATATATTTCTGCTTGCAGGATGCTTTGAAGCCAAGAGGAACTTCTAGTAAGTCGCATGGGCTACCATGACTAAAACAAAGAATTGCAGCCATATTTGTGAGAGCTCCTTGTTTCATAACATTAAATACAAATTTATTTCAACTGAAATGTCTATATTTTATGATGAAAGTATGATTATAAATTTACTTACTGCCTACAAGACTCAACGCGTATCCCCTGAACAAAACCATCATCCTTATCTTGGTTGATCACGTATTTCCATTCATTCTTGTTGTTCCTAGCAATCTTGGGAAATATTAGCCGTTGTACAGACGCGCAGATAAAGGTTTCTCCTTCATCTGGATCAACTCTGTTCTTCAGATCCGAGAGCTCCTCATCCACACCGAAAAAGAACTTACTTCTGGTGCTGAGATCTTGCAAAATGGTTTTCACGTGTTGGTAAGGGTAAAATTCAACATTTTCGCAGAAGGTGTCACTGACAGCACAATTTGGTGTGGTTTCGATTCGACGAATTGGTTCTGGTTCCCATTCCGAGGAGTCCGGAAATATTATTTCATCTAAAAGACAAAACTACAATTTAACCTTCAAAAAACTTTTCCTCTCGCATTACTAAAGGAAGAAATGGAACATATTCTAGAAAAACTATGAACATAATTGTTATTGAATTACCTTCTACGCTTCTGATATTAAGTCGCCTTTCATTTTTAGGTTGGTTGGTGTCCTGAAACAAGAACAGATTGGATGACTGAAGCTTCATGTCAACTGGTCTTCCTTCGATGTTATTTATCTAAAAATAAATACAACATTTAGTGCCTTTGTGAGTCCTATAAACACAAATTATTTATGTTTCGAGAAGAAAGTCTTAAATGAGAAGCATCAAAGAAAAGTGATGGCTTTGTAATGAATCATTTTTATAAGTAGATAGTTTAATAAAAGTGATGTACAACTGTACACAGATCACTCTTTAATGGTATTGCGCAAGGTTTTGAGTAATCCATACTTCTTCTAACTTACAATGGTTGGTACTTCCCTAAGCAATCATTCTTGCATCGAAAGAGAAAGGAATGATGTGACTTGTTGCAAGTGGATAGATTTACGTTATTTGGAAAATTGATTTACATGCCACTAAAAAAAAGACTGTGGTGGGCCGAATTGCAAGTCAACATCTACAGAGAAAAGTAGTGTGGCCACTGCTTTTGAACCTGGCAATGGACAGGTACTAAGGGAACTGAATAGGGAGGAGTTTAGGACTTTGTTGTAGACGATTTGGTCACTCCAGTTTAGAGTAAATGCAGTATTATATCAAGAGAATAAACGAAGATGGTTTTGAATATTATTACAAGATGCATAAATAAGGAACAGCCAACAATGAATTCCTCCATATCAACTATAGTACCATTTAGCAAACGAAGAAAGAAAGAGATGTACAAGCAGCCAAAGGGAATTAGAAATAGGTGAGAGTACTCAGTCATCTACACCGACTCAAGGTAAATATAAAGATTAAAGTTGAAAATGATGTATTGATTGCCAGACCTATGACAACATATGCATCCTTGGTATGGTGAACTAAGAAGCAACGGAGGACCATTACTGCTCATCTAGGCAAGGTAGGCTTGTCCGTTTGGCGGTATTGGAAGCAATGAAAACAATCAGTAGCTGCTGCTCTTATCTGTTTGGTGGAAGTCTATGTCATCGAGTGGTATGTATGGAGACTCAAGAATAGTATGGAACTGTCAGAAAGTTGTAACGCAGTTAGAAAATAACACCAGTCTTTGGATACCTGCTCATTAATTGTAAGATCTCCAGTGGAATGAAGTGGAAACGGATCATAACGAGATTTTGGGATAACTTTGGATACAGCCACATTAGACTTTCTGACTTGGACGGGAACAGAAACATTAGAATACTTACACAAGAATTACCAAAATTGGTTTACTCAAGGGTGCTTATAACAGACTCATAGAAAAAGAAATTTTCTGGAGGTAAGTAGGACATATTTTAGAACTCCACTTGACCTTGCTCGAAGAGGTAGAGTGTTGATTGTGTTTAGAGAGTAGGGAAAGAACAGAATACATATTATGTACCTCTACTGCAGGGGAACAGATCAGGTTATATATTCGACAAGACACTGCTCTCGCTAGAAGATCTGGATAAAATAGGAATGAGATGGAATATAAATTAGCAGTAAGCCATATAATAATGGATCACAATGTCGTAGTTTTTATTTTTTTAAACCATCCACGAGGAACAGAAACAGCAAACCTTGTGCGTGGATGAACCATTAGACCACAGAAGACATCCGAAATTGGATTCAGAACAGTATCAACACTTGATAAGGCAGCACAAACTAATGCAAATGACCAAGGAACTATATTGGGTGCTAGATTGAAATTGGGAGATCTATTAATACTTACAGTACGATTAATGATTAGCAACCCGGGGAACGAAATAAGTAAATTACTTATTGATTGCCTGCTTATATCCGTAATGAATATAACTCCGTGTCATATACTCTAGAGCTCTAGAGATGTCTTTATAGAAAAAGATGAAATAATACTTTCAGAATACCTTCAAAGTAAGAAAGAAACGGTAAAAGAAAAGTTTGATCATCTAATATGCAAAATTGGCTAGCAAATTTACATCAAATATCAATGTTTGTTACATTAGTCAGTTTTAATGTTTTTGATTGGCTAAGTTCAAAGTTGAACTCACTATATGTGTATATCAACAACAATTCTATAAGAATTGCGTACGTTTATAGTTTTATTGTCAAGGAAAAGACAACACGATGATTATAAATTGGAAAAGAACAATTTCTCACGTATTATAGTCCCAATTGATGGAGTTTAATGAATGAAATTATCTCTGAAAACACGTTGCGTGTGAATTTTATTAAATGCTATAAGTTGGATGTAAATTAATTATTAACTAGTGATTATATGTATAGTTAGTTCACTCATATTATATATTACATTTTATTGTTTTTATGGGTTTGCCCCTACACTTATTTTGTCTTAGTAGTAATTTATTTTTAATTTGTAGGTACGTCATTTATCACATTAGTCACAAAAATTAAACAATACTTTTTAAATATTTATACATGCGAATGTATATTTAGTTGCCTATTGTAAATATATTATAAACGACCAAAAAATGTACGCATCTCTTTGAAAGCAACCGTATTGACCGCTGATTGACTGTTCAAAATAACGAGTGAATGCCAAGTCTTTGACAAATAATTAATTTCTTGAGCTGACCATAAAAATATTTTGAGCAGATCTTTCTGCAAAAACAATTTTTAAATGTGCGTCGCTTTGTTATACAAAACTCTTAAATTGATTTTCTTAAATTTTTTTAGTTAAAAAAAGATTTGCCAGCAGTGTTCTGCGAATTTACTAAGTGACTGGACATATCTAGGTACACTACTATGCCTAAGCAAGAGGGTAATGAACTTTTGGAGAGACGATTGAAGTTTTTAGCAAAACGCAGTATTATAACAGACGATTTAATGATGAACATTTTGTGCTAATGAAAATAATAAATAGTATTTTCGTAGTAAAAGAAGTATGAACGACAGTTATGTAGATATAGCTGGTTTGTACATATCAAGAGAGAAACATATCAAAAAATGCAAAGGAAAACGTTAAATTATTTTTCGAAATAAGTGCTGCTGTTACATTTCTAATAACAAATGTCTCGCTACTTTGAAGAAATAACGTTAAAGCCCAGCAAGTAATTAATTATTTACACCAAAATAAATAAATAAATAAATACTACAAATACAAATATTTGATCTTGGGCGTAGGATGGGTGTGGATTTAATTTGCACATATTTCTTTCCAATGCTCAAAATATTATTTGAAAATGTTTTTTCAAATTTCCAAATTGTTGCTTTTCATTATAAAGCTTTACCTCATGCTTACCGTTTCACCCTATTTTAGGAGATATTTTAGCGTTTTATTAAAAATGACCTTAGAAAATACACAAAATCTATACAGGGTGTCCGGGAAAATTTGAGAAATCTTGGGTGCAGATAGAACATGAAAAAATTAGATGACAAGTTCCTATAAAACTTTTTCGTATAGGCCCTCCCTACAGAGATATGTGCCCCTGAAGGACGCTGGAAATCGGTTTTTCTTGAATAACTTTTAAAGTACTAATATAATTTAATAAAAATTTTATGTGATGAACACTAGTAAGGACCTCTTAAAATAGTGTCCCTTGAAACATATTTAGTTTTTTTAGTTTACCAGGGGCGAACTAAGCTTTACAACGGAATGCTTACATTTTTAATAACCTGTATGATAAAGACTAAAATAATAAATCTGGGAAGCTTCAACCGAGATTAAAAAAAGGTACTCTTGTTATTTTTTATTTTTAATAAAAAGGGCCATGATTTCTATTTTTTTTTTGTTTTCGACAACAAAGTGCGATACGAAACTTATTCAAACAACAGGAAAGTTTCATTTTAAGATAAAATACAAAATTTAAAAAAACGCAGTGGTGTCCCAGGAGGCACCTTAACGAAATTATTAAAAAACTTCATAAGAGGGTTGAACATGGGCTCCATGAAGTCTGAATGAAAAGCAACAATTTGTAAATTTGAGAAAACATTTTCAAATAATATTTTGAGCATTGGAAAGAAATATGTATGATTTTCCACAGTTTCTCGGACACCCCGTATACTCTTGTCTCTGATACATAACTTCCTTTTGGGGGGCTGTGCAATCTCTAATATTAATAAAAAAAACGTACCTGACATGCTTAAATCAATAAATAATAGTTCAAACCTCCAGACAAATCATCTATTTTTGATCTTAATCGCTACAATATCATTTTGAATAGACAATAATACGAAATTTTGCCATGATGACTTAATTCAAGAGTCTCCTTTCAAGATGGAATTAATAAACATTAAATTATTAACAAGGGGCGGACAGTATGGAACGGTTAACAGCAGGTAGATATTAAAATACACCTGTATAGAATTTTTATGACAATTTTATTGCAAAAGTAATGTTTGGCTTAAAGGAAAACAGTTCAGTAAGATATTATTTTTTTATTGCTAATATTAAATTTGTACGCTAAGCCTGCATTTTTAGTAAAATTGAAATATCTCACAAACAATAAGACCTAGGTATAATAAAGTTCACCTATTTATTACGATGCTTTCAAAAATGCAGTAAAATACAGGGTGTTCAATTTAAAAAGACATAACTTTGATATGGTACGCTTTTCCTGGACGCCCTGAATATTTCCAAATAGTTTTAAAATGTAGCCGTAATCAACCTACACATACCCACCTAAATAGGTTTCTATAGCATTAGTCGTTTGGTCGCTAGCCAAGGCGTTAGTGGTGACTGTATATCATATCATTTTCAAGTTTTTTAAAATATTTTTCTACAACTTTATTATACTATTTTTTATTCGAGATATATTTTTAATAAATACTTTGTGGTTATAATACTGGGTATTTGTCATTGAATATTGCTTCTAGTTTTTACTTTTTGGTTAATGGTAAAATGTTTAATAATGTATAATACTTTACTTTCCTTTTTACCTTACTTCTTGTTCTGAGTCAACATGTATTGCAATAATATGTTTCAGCCAGGAACGTCTCACAATTAAAAATATTTTTTTATCAAAATATGTCAATGAAAACAACTTTACTTGTTCTTATCTAGAGATCAATATAGATAAGATTTGTCATACTTTCGTTTCTGTCAGCCTTTCCCTTAAACATACACAGAATTCAAAATTTGAAAAAAACTTAAACATTGAAATTACGTATGTTTAATATTTCGTGTATAAAAACCATTACAAATATGTAAAATTCTTATGTGAATCTCCACAATTTTCATCAGTGTAGGTTAAAATAAGTATATTTTTATCTATCCAATTATAGCATATTAACAAACATTATATTTTATCCCTTTCAACAATATATTAGGTATATGTTTTGTTGTTCAGTAGTGCTATTCCAGAATATTATTAATTAATTATGTTTTACATCATTTGTGGTGTTCAAGAGATAACAAAGTAATAATTGTTTAACCGCATATCTTTACGAATTAATTTACAAACTTTAATATATATTAAATTGTTGGTAATTTAATTTGAAACAAATAGGACAATGTGTAGAAAATAAAGGAACTTATGATAAAACAATAAAAGACAAAAATTGTTTTATTTTGTACCAAATAAATATTTTTTTTACATTTCGTATTTTTGTTAGAACAGTGTGGTCGTGATTTGTATTGCGTCTTATTTAAGGACGCCAAATTTAATTCTCTGCCTATAGCTAGTAGCGACTTGCAATACTTTAGTTCCGACAGTGCATATATTAAGTGGAACCAACCAGTATATAATTTCATTTGAAGAGAATTTGTGGCAGAACAGCTAATACCCAACGAATGTATAATTTTAACAAAACTTACCAATTCCAACACAATTGAGATGTAAAAATAATAAGTAAACAACATATTTTAATGATTTTTTGCTGTAAATTTCACCACATCACTCACTGTAAGCACAGAGGTTCATTTCAAACTGCCATTCTAAAGGTATTCATTCATTTTTAATACCCCTTTAAATAATACTCACATCACACTCATTACGGTCTTTGTTAGGTATAAGTTTTATTACTATTTCACAGAAGGGTGACAGGTAGTCGTAATAACATTGATTCCAAGGGGTCTCCTCTGACAAATAAGGTACATAATATACTTACATAAATTCCTTGTTTCAAGTAAGTTGTAAACAATATATTTAGGCATATAAAAAATACGAATACTTCCTCAATTATTTCCCACCATTTATTATTTACAAAACATGCTACGAATAGCTACAAAATAATTTGTAATACTATTTACATGCGCAACTATTCTATATTCAAATGCTTCTCTACATCCCATTTAGAAATAATTAACAAAACTGAAGCTAGAAATATTCAACAAAACCGCAACAAGTAAACGAATAAGTTAGTACGGAAATGGTCATCCCGAATCATTTTTTTCGTGTTGACTTGGAACCGGACTAACTGACTGAACCTTGCCTATTCTAGAAAGAAAGCCCTCTCTCTTGTATGAACAACAGCAAGCGGATGGCAACTGAAAGGTATCTGGCACCGGTGTACCGTTCTCATTCAAAGACATCAGTCTTCTGTAAATGTATTTCTGCTTGCACGAAGTCCTATAGCCCTCGGGAAGTTCCCCAATTATATCACAAGGTGCATTTTGGCTGAAATTAAATTACAGGATATAATTATCTAATAAAATGTGGACACAGACTTAAAATTTTTAAATTGTTTTAATAATTTAACACCACGAGATTCAAAATATTGCAAAATTATTCTTTCATACATATATTGGGTAAACCCTCTTTCATTACTTTTTTTCTAGAAAAAACAGTTGAGCATCGCGTTCCACATGGCAAAAATATATTAAAAATGTGATTCACAACTTAACCAAAATAAATTGGGAATAGATGCGTTATCACAAATGAAATCAATGCCGTAAACAATTTTTTGTAAAATCCTAATAGTTTCCGAAAAAAAAAAATTATAGTATTTTTAACCTTTACTTCGCTGGTCTACTGTAGTCTCTAGCGTCATTCGCGTTGCGCTCTCTCTCCAGGTGGCCTCAGGTGATTCTGAATAGTGTTTACAGTAGTTTTTCAAGTGCCAAAAATGGCTTACGTGCATAGCAACTCGGAGTTGATGGATATCGTTTTAATTTGTGGTGAAGCAAGACGACATTTGTGTTATGGTGAAGTATTTGTGTTATAGTGTAGCAAGATAGCATTTGTGTTAGTTCGTAGAAACTGGATAAGACGGGTTCAAATGTATTTACACGCCGGTGGATAAAATTTTGAACAGTTGTTGTAATATCAGGTATGCGAAATTATTTTAATAATTAAAACCAGAAAGCAGTTGAATTTGATAATATAAAATAGGTGTTATAAAATGTTGTTTATTTCTTTGCTTGGTGCCTTAGTACCGTGCAGAAGTGTATTCTTAAATCATTATAAAACTGCCCTTTTTGATTTTTTTTTACAAAATTGTATTTGTAAGAATGTATTCATTTTTTTTTTGATGTTCTGAATTATTCTGTATATTGTATCACCAGTCGAGTCCAGTCAACAAACGAATTTGGAAAACTCTTTTAAATACGATTTCAACTTCTTTTGTGTAACACGACTGCAGTATGTGACATAATTAAAGTTAACTAATTAAATATGAACAACAAACGTGTAAAAGCCATAGATGTAACAAAGAACTCTTCTTGCACACTCAAGGTCAGTTCTATCTCAATAATTATCGAAAAATTTCTGTAAAAACATATTTTGTCACAAGTTGTGACAAAATGTGTTATAATAAATCCAAAAATGACCTAAAAGAAAGTTGTTTAGTTCATGGGGATAAATCGGTGGCTAACCTTGAATTTGACCTTAACCGTGACCTTGAAGGTCATTTGAAGGTCGACTACATAAATGGGTCCCTCTATGTTTTACCCTGTAATGGATTCGTCAGAAAATTTTACGTCCGCACCTGATCTCAACTTTGACATTGCGGTCAAGATCAAGGTCATATGTATGTCAAGATGTTTGCCCCTAAAATCGATGGGAATTTCATGAATGTACTCAATCATGATCAATCATTCAACCTTAGCCTTCAAGGTCATTTGAAGGTCGACTACAAAAATCGACTATGACGATCTCTATAAATGTTTTTAAGGGATCTTGGATTTTATCTTGAAGGTCATTTGAATGTTGACTTTGTTTCCTTTTATATCGGTACCTGCATTCCTGAAGTTGGATCCTGGAAAAGCGGTAAATTCTACACCCGAGTACGTTGCAAAGTCAAGTTAAAAGTTCATTTGAAGATCAAATCAAGAGTTAACCCTGGAATAGTAACAAAATGACTTCGTAATTCAGTAGTCCACAAAGAGTGGTGTGATATTTAAATGATAAAAATCCCATCGACTCTGGAGGCAAACATCTTATTCCGAGGTTGCTTCGTGGGTGACGAATCATTTGACCTTGTCCTTGACCGCAAGGTCAAAGTTGAGATCACATCCGGAAGTAAAATTTTCTGCCGAATCTATTCCTAGGGTAAAAAATTGTAAATTGTAAAAAGTTGAATTTAAATTGACTTTCAAGGTCACAGTTAAGGTCAAATTCAAGGTTGCTTTGCCCCAATGAACTGAAAGCTTTCAGTTAGGTCATTTTTGGATCGGATGCTTCACTGACAAGATATTCACGTGTAGATATCGATTAAAATGGGACACCTAGTATACTACTTTCTACTACAAACACAGATGTAGATATAAATTGTATAATTTAATACAATGTTGTTAAATCATACGGACTGAACAATTTCCAAGCTAGTGGGCCCCGATTTAGACTTTTTGACGTTTCGAGTATTGCTCCCTTCTTCAGAAACATTTCTGAAAGAGGACATTAAGAAAAGTTTTTGAAGGTTAAGATGACATTTATTGTTGTGTACTGTCAAAGTTTTAAAATTTGTAAAAATTTTGTTTAAATGAAGGAAATTCGGTACAATATATAGAACATACATAAAAAAACAGTTTGGTACCTACCTATTTCTCTAGAATGTGATGCTCAATTTTTTTTATTTGGTGAAACAAGAAAAGAGAAAAAAGGAGCCAAATTCGGGAACAAGAACAATATACATATGTTTGAAATATTATTTAATGATTTTAATATGATTTGTTCTATATAATTTTTTAGTAAATTACTTTTATTTAATATTTTTAGAATTTACATACTTGAAGGCATTAATAAACTTAACATGTAGGTATCTCGAAAAAACATTTCAAGACCATGTTTTTTTATGTCAAAATCTGATGTAGAGTCCATTGTTACAGATTGGGCAAGCATTTCATTTACACCGTGAACAAGAACTTATAGTTGGGCGCCATTAAAAGAAAGCGGAAAGAGCAAACCGGAAACCGCAAGCGGGGATTGTTATGGCATGATGATAAAGTTTTTTAATTTAAAACTCCATCAAGGTAAATTTACCATCTTAAAGGCTGTGATATCATCGAAATTACTTTTACTAATTTGACACGTATTTTTTACACCATATAAAAATTTTCATTGTTTTCCAATAATGGCGACCAACAATCAGTTCTGGTTCTCTCCGAACATGCTATATAAACAAGTCTTGAAAAATCAACTCACTGCCTGCAAGTTTCAGCGCGTATTCCTTGCACATAACCCTCTTCCCTGCCCTGATTCACGATGTACTTCCATTCCTTGTTTTTATTTTTGCCAATCTTTGGGAAGATAATTCTATCTACGGCCCCGCAAACAAACGTTTCTTCTTCTGCTCCGATCCTCTTCTCCAGTTCTGGCGGCATTTCATCTTCACCGAAAAAAAAATCTTTGTTGATCTTGTGTGTCCTCAGTATATCCTTCAAATGAAGGTAAGGATACGAGTCGAAATTTTCGCAGAAGGTGCTGCCATCCGCACATTTTGGGGCTCCGTCTATCCGGGGGATGGGTTCGTAGATTAGTTCGAAGGAATCGGGAAAAATTATGTCTTGCTCAGATAAACCGCCAAATGATATGGAGCCTGAAACTTCGAAATTTTCAAATTTGTCACTGATAATGTCAAGTGTGTATAATTCAAATGAGTATGAATGGAATGAGTTAATACCGGTTACGATTTATTTCATTAAAGGTTATGGTGTAAGAGAAGTAAATCATAACGATTTTTAATTGCACAGTTTAATCGTTAAAGTATGTAGTTAAGGTATAAGCACATGCAGATGCAGATGTGTGCAGCTGACACTGTACCGATTACTTCTGGAATCTAAAATATCTGTGCGATAAATCTGCACGGTTTTATCTGTGCAGGCATATTGCAAAATATAATTGTAACGCGTGTAACTGGAATAACTATGTTCTTGATGCAAACTCTACCTCTTCGGTTGCTTGTATTCAAAATTCGCTCCTCTTTGGTTTTGTTGCTACTCTTTATTTCTGGTGCTTCTCTAAGTGGTCTTCTTAAGGAATCACCTGCTATTGTTTCATTAATTAAATTATTGAAATGTCCATAGTGCCTCATATGTTGTGGTCTACCACTGACGAAATTTACCTGTAAATACCAATTTCAGAATTTTACAAATATATTAAATGGTAATTAATGTAAAACTGACCAAGGAAAACAATTTTAGCTATCTAATTGATCCCAGACTAATATTTGTATGAAGCCAAATATGTGTATCTATTTATATTATGAACCTGTTACTTTATTATAATAATAGATTGATATTCATCGAATTCAATATTTGCCTTGTCCAGAATTCAAGACAGATTTGTCGATGAATAAACATTTTATTGACATTCCTTTTTCTAAAATCTTTGGTTCACGGATTGTAAGTATATTGAAATTCGAAGATATGGTAATATTTAGATGACGTGAAACTATAAATAACCATTCTCTATTGTATTATTAATTACTCTTTATTTATATTAAATACCTAGAAGTGGCGAGTCTACCTGTTCATAACAAAACGTACAGATTACAGATTGTGAATAATATCAGACAATTACAAAGGTGCCTATTAACCTAGCGAAACAGGTTTCCATAATTTATTATTCAGTTGCTACATAACAAATTGCTTACCAATTCCAATACACAGGTACAGTATATGCTAAGTATCATATTTTAAGTGATATTCTGATTTTACAGTTATATACGATGAAATATTTATTTCGTAATATGCAAAACTTGGCACAATTATCGGATAACTTCAATTTGTACATATCGAAGCTGTTTTTTTAACAGTATTTGCTGCAGTTTGCCAACTGACACTGTCCGTGGTCACAGCACAAATTTTTACACACGTAAACATGCCCGATTGATGAAAACTATCACATTTGGCGCAGGACAACTCTCTAAACGTATCGTTGCTGTACTACTAATACGTTGTACCCATTTCTCCACACCGATGACGACTGTACAAGTTGGCGTTTTATTTGTTTTTGCCACTTTTATCATCGAGCCCAGCCTCACACTTCACTGAAATCATCATGAAATTATCACGTTGAGATCATTTACCATAAAACTAGAAAGACAAGTTTTAGAACAGTTCGGGGAAAATAATAAGTGTTTTGCGAAATTTACATTTTACCGCGGCTAGTAATCAGGTGGATGCTCAATTTGGTAAACAGGTACACACCGTTGATGTAGGCAAAACAAAATTTATACACGGCATTGACGTAAGTACAGACGTTTCATCAATTTTGATGAGCAGTTTATTGCGACAGATTAAACTTGTTTATAGCCCACTGGGGTGAGTTGATATGCTTCTTTCAAATATTTTAAAATTTAATATTAATTTATTACAATTTTAGTGACTTGAATGCAATGTTTGATTAATTCTATACATTGTTTTGACATATCAGAAACACTAAATCTACAGGCTCAACCAAATTTGAATTTCACTTTAGGGATCTCGAAATTCTGACCCCCCTTTCCACATGACGAGAATATTGTTAACATGACGTAACACGTATTCTGGTCTAAGCTTTGTCAACATATTTAACTTATTGTTAGTGCAGAATAAGTGTAAGAAAATAAAAAATTACACTAAAAAAAATTCAAAAGAGAACTAGACCACTATATCCATATATTTTGGAGGTCGCCTGATCCGAGGTCCGTTTGACCTTGCCAGGTCAGGTTAAAGGTCATTTTAAGATCAAACCGAGAAAAATCCCCTATGATGGAGGCAATCATGGTTATTATATGTTTTTGGTCTCAGTGAGCCCGAATACGAGGTCCGTTTGACCTTGTCAGGTCAGGTTAAAGGCCATTTCAAGGTTAAACCGAGAAAAATCCTCTAAGGTGGAGGCAATCATGGTTATTATACGTTTTTTGTCTCAGTGAGTCCGAATCCGAAATCCGTTTGACCTTGTCAGGTCAGGTTAAAGGTTATTTCAAGGTCGAACCGAGAAAAATACCCTATAATGGAGGCAACCATGGTTATTATATGTTTTTGGAGTCGCTGAGTCCTTTTTCGGAGCAGTTGCCATCGTTTCCAGTATCCTTCACGGTAGCAGGATTGTAAAGGCTCTATTAGAACATCATAGAAATGAGGCTTTTACTTAGATGATTGATGATTTTAATGATGATCAAAATTTTATGATTTTATTGGAGTTAAGCTTGTCAGTAAATATATTTTATGTCCATTAACGCAGAGAAATTTGGGCAGTCTACATGTAAAAATTTCATTACGTGCGAGTTATAAAAAAATTTATCATTAATGGAATGTGAATACTCATCTTTCACCATAGAATACGAAATTAATATTACTATATTATTGACATATACCATGTACCAGATTTTTTTTTGTGGGGCTGTCTAATCTAGAAGTTAATTTAAAAATTTCCGTCTTTTCAAGCCTTCAAATGAGAAGTCTTACACAAGTAAGCTGGCATTCACTTGAAAAAGTCTAAATTCTATTAAAAATCTGTCGGTATGTTGCGTATTTCGTGTGCTGCCGAAGCAATGTTAATTTGTCAAAAAGTAGAGCAAAATGTACAGGCAGACGTACAACAATATTTCACTGATAATATCATGAGAATTCTCTGGAAAGTGGTTTTCTAAGTTCAAACCGACTTGAGTAGCCAGTGATTAGAAACACATTGGAATTCATGATCTCATTGCATCATAACCCCATAACCCCATGACCCCGCAACCCCATGACCCCGTAACCCCATAACCAATTGTTTGACGAATTTGATCCTAAAAACACCGATCACTGATTGTAGCGTCAGGAGGTACTATTACGTTTTTTACGAAGTTACGACCCCAGGTTAAAGGGTTATGGGGTTAAGAAAGTTTGCCAACCCACAATCATGTAGTTTTGGAGTTCTGATGTATGAGATTAGTGTTTCCACAGAGTTTCATGGTTTTACTCTCTGGCACATCTCGGGTATATAGGGTTTACGGGGTCATGGGGTTATGAAGTTAAGGGGTTGTGATGCAATGAGATCATCAGTTTGATTGTTTTTCTAATCACTGACCACTCAAATTATTTTACATTATCGAAACCGCTTTGTAGAGGTCTGTCGTCATGACGGTGGGGTCGGTGGGGTCAAAACAGGAACATATACGGGAATTCAGCGATTGCGGCTATGGGGTACACTGATACGCGGCCTAGATCACTCTTTTTAGTGTCGCTGTGCAACTAGGTATTCTATTCTGTATCTAATTATTATCTAAAGAGAATTTCGAAACAATTGTTTTAAAAATGATTTAATTAACAAACTTTCTTCGAACGGAACTGATGATAAATTTTCGAAAATATGGTGTGTTAAGTGACAACTTCTATAAGTTTCTAAGAGCGTCTTATTGATTAGATATTGATTAGATATCACACATTAGACAATACTCTTAACAATTAATTATACGTAAGGAAATATAATAGGGACAAATTTGTTAAATATATACGTATGTAGTAATAATAATGGCGATATTTTGAACTTTTGTAGATCAAATCAGAAATGGAAATATTTGTTTTAGAAGTTGCAGTAAATATTAATCAATGATATGAATAAATATGATGCATTTTTTTGTACAACTTGTTTGTTTAATATTACAATATAGATATTTTCCTGAATGCACGAGTGCTTACTATTATGACACATGAAATTATATTTTGCTACCAAATTTCTGAGACCTCTGCGTTACTCAGATTTCTAGATTGGACTCTTTAATGTATTTATACAAAAAGTGTAAACGTTGTTATATTTACCTCCAGAAATGTATTGCTAGCGCACGAGATTTTAAAAATTTGTAATAAGCAATTCACAGTTTTATAATGTATAAACAACTTTTACAGGATTTACTTAATTATTATGTAAAACCAGTCCTTGTTTCGCATGCAAAAGAACAATGTTGTGGTTATACTCTGCTGGATATACTACACCAAAATCAGAATAATTTTGCAATAATATTTTGCGCTTTTTATGAGAAGACATTGGGAAATTAATATTATTACTAGTTCTTTGCATCTTTGTATTCTTCTCTAAACCGTAGGAAAACCTAAACTAACCTAGAAATTGACGAAACATACATATTTTTCCAGGAACTAAAAGTTATTATAGAGGGTGTTTCAGGATTAAGTCGATAAACTTTGAAGCCGTGCTTCTCTGGTCAAAATAAGTAAAAATTTAAACATAAGACCGCAAACGCTTCGTTTTCGAGATACAGGATATTTAGAATTCCATAAAAATTATGTTTTTAATACCTTGAAAGCGAACAGAGATATTTAAGTAAAACTTGGTGGTTGCAGAGACATTTATTTGAAATTTTGCACATATTTTGATCTAAAATCGGCGCACTTTTTGTGAAATTTTGGCTTAAAATATCAAAGTCGCGAAAGGAGCTGCTCTTATACTAAACTTTTTATCTTTGCAAATCTTTGTATTTAAAATGCATAGCAGTATGGTTATATAAATATGAGATTAATCTCAATAATACAAATATATGAGGATTTCACTGAAAATGAAAAAATTTGTCAGTTTTAGAAAAAAGTTGCCTATAAAAGTTATTCGTCTGACAGTTTGCAAAAAACAATTGACTTCTAGATTTATTTTATGTTATTTTATATGGAACACCCTGATTTTTTAATATTTTTGAAATCTGTAAAATGAAAAATGTAAATATGTAATTTATTTGGTTCAGTATTTTTTTTGTAGATAAAGCTTTCATTTATGTTAACATTATGAATATTCCAATCTACAACTGCATTTTAGACGTATTATTATTAAATTTAAATAAAATTGTAACAAAATGAAACTGATTAATTAAATTAAAGTTAAATACAATACAAAAATTTAAATAATTATAAGGTATTAAGTGGAACACTTTGTATATATAACAATTTTTATTTTAATTTAAATTTTATGGGTTTTCTTAATTATAATTGGATTTATATTTAATTACACTAGCATAACAAAGGTCCACACAATTTTTATAGGACTGTTTCTTCCTATAGTCAAAAATATGATCATTTTCGATAAGAAATCCTGTTTAAATTAATTTTCTCAAATTTAATAATAAATAATTCTTTTACATTTAAAAAAATAGATAGTTTGTCGCAATATGTCTCAGTAATAAATATTACTAGCCACCAGTGGAGGAGATATGGGTGGGCAGTTTAATTAATTCGGCAAACAAAGTACGTAGTACGGCCTTGTAAATATTAGAACCTAAAAATGTCTTCCGAAGTCAGTTGAACATGTAAAAAAGCGCCTAGCAATAAAATTTAATGAGTTTCATAGGCGTCCCTAAAAAAATTTTCTTCTAAAGGTAAAAAATTATAATAATTTGTATATAATGTGCAGAAAATTTCTATTATATGTTCATTTGACCAACAACATATTTTAATTACTTATGTCGTCAAACAATTTTATTATATTAATGGTAAATATTTCGTTATGTTCCATTTCAAAACGTCTCCAAAATGCCATGTTGTAATAATATTAGTAAACATAATATCCCTATTATTTCTCGCTTTCGCAATTATGATATGAAAGATTAATAGAAGGTGCCTATAATAAATTAAAGTTACCTGAATCGCACCAAATTCCGCATTGCTGCACTGCACTGCTAGGCCATCTGTCGACAAGTGAATTTATGGTTAGGTCGCCCAGTGCGGCTGTGTTTGTGCGGCGTTTGCCCACGCGCTCATTCTTCAACTGGGCGACCAGACCTATATATGGGTATGTCTAAATAAATATGGAAACACGTTTTTCAAATCAATGCCGAGTTGCTGCGTCAGCGACCGAACATGGTACATACTGCCAACCTCTTGGTTCTTGAATCGGAAAGACTATACCAGTTCTCATTTTTTACAGGGTCGTACTACTTTATTTGCCGAATTAATTGAATTGCCTACCCATATCTCCTCCACTGATGGCTAGTAATACTTATTACTGAGACATATTGCGACAAACTATCTAATGACTCACACCAAGTTTTACTGAAACGTCTCTACTCACTTTCAAGATATTAATAAATATAAGTATTTATTTTGGACGTGATGTCCTCAAAGTTTGTCGAGTTAATACTGAAACACATTGTATAAG